AGGCCAGAGCAAAGCCAATCTCAAGGACACAGGTGCCTGAGGCAAAGAGGTTTCACTGGATACTCAGCCTCTTGAGTGTATAAATAAAAGCACTCTTGCTCCTTCCTCTCCCTCCTTTCTCCCTGTTTCTTTGTACTTCCCTTCAGGAGAGAGGGTTCCATCTGGCCTGTTTTCTGTATTCCCACTCTTGTCTTTCTCTCCATCTTCACCCTGAGATGCGGCCACTAAGGATTCATTGCCATCAGCCCATCTGGTCCACAGACAGTAACTAAGTGACTTAAAGGACTCCCAATGTGGAAGCAAGAACTGCAGCAATAGCTTGCTATCTAGAAGTTGGAAGGGACGGATATACGTGTGAAAGGAACTTGGGTCATGCTTGCAGTCCAAGCAACACGACAATCAGTAGACTGTAACAAAGGCAATGGACTTCCTGTGCACCTTGTCATCTACTGCCCAATGGACCTACTGCCCAATGGACCTACTGAATGAGGCAATAGCTAACTCACAAAGCAAGTTAAGGACAAGAGGGCCTGCTATTTGTGTGGTACCACTGTGTATTAGGGAGTACAGACACTACACGCTGCACCCCAGCACAAAGGAAACAGCATTAAAGCACATGTTGAGAAACACTGAGCTTGGTGGGAGCAGAAGCCCTGTACCCACAAAATTCCAGTCTGTTTCCCAGCCATTCTTTTCCTTTTTCCTGTAAAGTGCATGTCTTGATGGTGGTTTGAGGTTTGGTTTTGGCACTTGGCCCCTAAAAGTTTCAGCATCATGGTTCTAGGGTCAACAGCCGAAATCTATACACCCAGGCTTAGTACCTCAGATAAGGTCCTCTAACTCTAAGCCATGAACTTCCCCCCATGTCTTCCTTCTATAGCATCTCACAGGGATGGAAAACAAAACCAAGGAATATCAGGGCACTCTAGTGTCTCCAGTGGCACCAGGAGTGTCTGATCTTTCCAGTTAGGTGGGCAATGTTAGGTGGTCAAGCTGATACACGTTGTGCCCTCCCTTGCTGAACTGGATGACTGAGACTGACAGATTTGGATCAAACAACAAAGGCAATGGTTGTGCACAGAGCTAGCAGCCTCAGGACTGAGACAGTTGACTAGGTCACCGTACCAGCTCAGCCTATCCCCAACCAGTGGTGGGAAACATCTAAGACCCTGAGAAGAGGAGACAGGAGCACTAACCAATCTATTTGTTCAACAAGGACTTACTGAAGGAGGCCTGGAAATAATTCCTGCTATGCCACTCTGAACCTCACTGCTTCACTGTGATCTTTTATCCTGTCAGTGATAAACTACACCAGGGATATCATTTGGATCTGAAATGCCCCCCAAAAGCCCATGTGTTAAGTTTGGCCCCCAGTCCACAATACTACTGAGAGGTAGTAGGACACTTAGGAGGTGGAGCCTAGCAGGAGAATGTTAGATCACTGGGGGAATGCCCTGTGAAAGGATCTGGGGACCCCAGCCCCTCTGCTTGCTCTCTTTGCTTTCTGACTGCCGTGAGGTGAGTTGCCATCTCTGTCGTGGTGAATTCATACAACTCTGCCAGTAATAAGGCCTGGATTGTAAACACCAACACCTGCATGCTCATGAATAGGTTACTGAGAAATAAAACGAGGGAAGAGAGGATCTACGTCCTAGGGCGTCTTTCTCTATGGACAATCTCTGGGTAACCAAATACACGATGAGCAATGTCACACACTGACATCACTGGAAAGCTGGCAGCTGGTGATCTTACACTTTGGGTATACTGAGGCTAGCCCCGAATTCACCCCGGTGGGGGCAAACAGCCTAAATCTATATGCCAGGCTTAACAGGACCCTGCCAGGGTGACAAAATCTGATTTCATCATTTTATTAGAGCTTTCATACCATACATAGGAGTCAGTGTTTGTGAAAAAAGAAACTCATTCCTGGCCTTGGCACACAGCTTTTCTATTAAAACTACCTTGATAGACCAAAAAATATCTCTCAGCAACCTCAGGAAAACTGTTTTAAGCAACAGGATTGCTTGAAGTTTGTTTAACTCAGCTGAGAGGGCATTAGGGAGTTAAAACTTCACAGAAGTTTTGACAACAATGTACCACATTCAAACTGTAGCAAGAAGGAAATTACCTCAGAGTAAAGCCGTGGCTAACATACCTAACAGCGAAGGACGGAAAGTTTTTCCTCTGAGATCAGGAATGAGACAAGGATGTCACTTTTCACTATTTCTATACATAATAATATAGAAGTCCTAGCCACAGAAAGCAAAAAATTGGAATTACATTTCATCAAAAATAAAATCTTGGGGCTGGGGATTTAGCTCAGCGGCATAAGCTCCTGCCTTGGAAGCAGGCAGTCGTGAGTTTGTCCCTGGTACCGATAAAAAGGAAAAAGACAAAAAAATAAATAAATAAATAAATAAAATCTTGACCAGGCATAGTGGTGCACACCTGTAATCCCAGAACTAGGAAGGCTGAGGCAGGATGACTGTTGCAAATTCTAGGCCACCCTGGACTACAAAGTAAGTTCAAGACCAGCCTAAACTTCAGAGCAAAAACCTGTCTCAAAAAGACAAAATTAATTGATTAAAATCTTTTATGCATCAAAGAATAAAAACAATAGTCAAAAGGAAACCTACAAAGTGTGGGGGGGTGCTGTTTGTAAACCATATATCTGAAAACATATTAAACAAACATGGTAGGATGTTAAAAACTGGTGAATCTAGATAAAGGGTATCCTGGAGTCCTCTGTGTTATCCTTGCAACTTTTCTGTACATTTGAAATCATTTAAAATAAAAAGATCAGTAGCAGCACAATTAATAGCCAGATCTTGGAAACAACCTAAATGCCTATCAACTGAGAAATGTATAAAAAGATGTGGTATTTTTATACAATGGAGTACTACTCAGCTATAAAGAATGATCACATCGAGATATTTATAAGTAAATGGATGCAACTTGAGACCATCCTCATAAGTGAAATAAATCAAACTCACATGTATAAATACTGTATAATCTCCCTAGTGTAAGAAATAGTAAGAGTATACAACATACAAAAAACTCAATAAAGAGTGAAAGGTCGGGGTTGGAGGTTTAGCTCAGCAGCATAAGCGCCTGCCTTGCAAGCAGGCAGTCGTGAGTTCGATCCCCGGTGAGTTCGATCCCCGGTACCAGAAAAGGAGGGAAAAAATAATAATAAAATTTTTTAAAAATCAGGATCCTAAAGACATATTTGTACATCTACATTAATAGCAGGATTATTCAAATAGCTAAAATATAAAGCAACACAAATATCAATTGACAAATAAATAGACAAACAAAATATAGTACGTCTATAATCCCAGCACTTGGGAGATTCATACAGCAGGATTTCTGTAAGTTTGAGGCCAGATTGGGCTACACAGTGAGACTTTATCTCAAAAAAAAAAAAGAGAAAGAGAAAGAGAAACCTTGACATACACTATAACATAAGTGAATCTCTAAGACAGAGATGGCAAATCTTTTAGAGACTGAGTACCAAAACTGCAACCCAAAGCCCACTTATTGCCAAATGCCAACGCTGCAACTGAACCTGAATACTGAGGTTTTAATTTAGAAAAAACAACTCGTGCATTAACATCTTTTGTCTTAAAAACACAATGAAAAAAATAAGATGAGATCCCAGTTGTTGATTCTGGGAAGAAAAGGAAAGAAAGATAGAAAGACAGAAAGAAAGACAGACAGACAGACAGACAGACAGAAAGAAAGAAAGAAAGAAAGAAAGAAAGAAAGAAAGAAAGAGAAAGAAAGAAAGAAAGAAAGAAAGAAAGAAAGAAAGAAAGAAAGAAAGACAATGATACCAGAGGTTCATCGCAACTGCTCTAAGACATTATGCTGAACAAAATAAGCCAATCACAAAAAGACAAGTGGCCCATGAGCCCCCACTCTACTGGAGGACAGTCTGAGTCAATAGCAACTGAGATGCAAAGATAGCTAAATGCATGTATTGTTTGACTGACTTTGCAGAACTGAGGCTGGTAGTCTGAGCATCTATTGGGAGGAGGACTGTATGCAGTATGGTAAATATGGAGATTTCCGTCTGTTCATTTTTGTTCTCGCTGTTTTGTTCTGATTTATTGATTTGTTTTATTCGATGCTGTTTTGATTGCTTTTATTCTGCTTTGTCCGAGTTTACTGAGTCTGAGGGAATGGACCACTATGTTATGGTGACCACTGCTGATGGCTGTTGTCCTGTTTTGAGGTTCTGTACCACTTTCACTGCTTTGTTTTGGTTGGCCCGATTCTGTTTTGTATTGATGGGTTTTATTCTCCAATCAATCAATCAATAAGACAAGGAGCCTAGAGTACTCCAATTCATAGAGACAGAAATTAGAATTTGTAGTTTTCAGGGGCTACTGGGAGAAATAGAAGTTCATTGTTTAATGAGTACAAGGTTTCTGTTCTGTAAGATGAAAAAGTTCTGGGATGGATGTGGTGATAACCACACATGTACTTAGTGCCATTGAACACTTACACTTCAAAAAATTAAACTGGTAAACCAGACTGGGAATTTAGCTCAGTGGCATAAGTGTCTGCGTGGCAAGCAGAGAGGTCTTGAGTTCAATCCCTGGTACCAAGAAGAAAAAAAAAAAACTGGTAAATCATATGTTACGTATATTTTCCATGATTTTTTAAATAAATTTAAAACTTGTATAAAAAAAGCGAAGGATGGCTCAGGTTTCATGTTACTACACGGGACACCATTCACACAGTCTTCCTGGAGCTGGTCACCAGGCAGCCACGACATCCTAAATCTCCCACTGTGGCAGACACTGCTCATCAGTCACCATCCACTTATTCAGCCCCTGGGCTCTCAGAATCCTCCTCCATGAGTGACCTCAGACAGCCCTGTTGACTCCATAGAGCTGACTTGTGAGATGTATCTGCTGCCACTGGTTTCAGCAATGACCTCTTGGAAATATGTCTGATAAAGAGAACTAGGAACACAGATGTAGCAGACCTGGTCATTCTTTTAATGGAAGGGGTATACATTGGTGCACCTTACAAGCCTGTGAGCCCAGAGAGATTTCTAGCTGAATATTCAATTGGCTTTCTTTGAGTTCGTACTCGCCCTGAATAAAGCCACGTGAATGGCAATTGTGCCAGCGCCAGTAGACCTGAATGATGCGGACAGCGTTTAACAAGCGACAGTATGGCAGGCGGATGCGCCACATGCGGATCCAGGACTGCAGCTTGACGGCTGCCCATTCTCTGCGTGCGTAGAACTCCAGCGCCATCCACCGCCTCTTCTCCAGCTGCCTTGCTCTTAGCTGCCTCCACCAGCACTGAATGATCCAAACCCTGAGGGCTGCGTGCAGCAGTGTCCGCCGCAGCAGAGTGCCCCGCCACCAGGCCTGGATAAACACAGTAGCAGTCTCTCTTGTCATCTCTTTGGGGCCTTGGAAGAGAAAGCAGAATTTTTACACACAAAAGACTCAGAAAATGTCAGGAAGGGGTCCTGTACCAACAGTGACAATCGTCAGAAGTTTAGGAACTCTGGGTGAGCACAGCTGGACCTAGGAGACCATGCAGGTGTCCTGCCTCTGCTATTCTCTGTTTAGTGGACAGAAACCCGACACCCTGAACCCTGGCCCTCAGTGTTCCTATCTGTAAAGCTGGGCTATACTTGCCCTAGCTACTGCACCCAATTTTCCAGTCTGACTTGGCCATTTATAACAAGAGCATCATGATTTAGAGCTAAAAAGAGCCTCAGGTTTCTCTTGGGCAGGACCACCTCCACCTGACAGCCCTCCCACCTGCGGGGCAGCTGGCATCTTTTGCCCCTCCTCACCCCAGGTTAAACTTGCAAGCCACTGCTCCTTCTAGCTCACCCAAGCAGTAAAAGATTCCTCCATCTCACCCATGTTACCAACGCATTGGTACAAACACACATGAACACACGCTAACACATTTTTTTTATTTAAAGAGAAAAAAAAAACATAGCAGTAAAAGGGTACAAGTAATACAGAATTCCAAGAAAAAAAACTATACAGTAAGAAATCACTAGTTAATAGATTACATATTGTCATCTTAGAAACAGTTGTCCAAATTACAAAATTAAAGCATACAAAGTGGACATTCATGCAGTGAGATTGCAGACAGTTCTGTTCAATGGTCCAACAAAAACTCAGTTATATGGTTTTCTATCCTACACACTTAAATATACATGCAGTTATATCCTTTAGACCACTTTCTTTTCCCCTCTTTTTTACAATAACAATTACACTTTTTGGGTTTTATTACTTCCACAATTCTTATAACTTTTTTTTTTCTGAAGAGAAAAAAAAAATGTGACAAAGCAAAACAGAGTCAGTTAGAAGGATGGACATAGTACATGATGCAAAAACAGAATATCAGGTGATCAAAAATGGTTACCATTATGCCTCTTGCTATCTTAAAAAGAGTTGCCTATATCATCAGGTATAATAGAATTGAACAAAACAGTACAGAACAAGACCAATAAAACCTACATTGGAGACCTTACAGGACTTCAAAAGAAGATAATAGTCAAACCATAATGGGCATCATAGTAAATCTGATTGCCTTCAAAGTGGTTGCCTATACCCTCAAACTTGATACTATCAAACAAAACAGAATAGAGTAAAGTCAGTCAGAACAAGATGGGGAGAGCAATACTGAGGTTCAAATCAGGTTAATAGGAAAACAAAAAAGTTACTATAATATATCCTGTTATTTTTTAATTTAGTTTCCCCTTAATTAAAAATATAAGCAAAAAATAAATTTAACACACACATTTTGCACCTGGGCTTCCCACACCCCAGGCCTTTCACTCCAAGAGCAACCCACACTTGCAACTCCCAGCCCCACATGGTCTAGGCTCACATTGTTTGCCTCCTTTTCTCAGCCAGGCCCAAATCTGCCTAAGAGGGAAACAGGGGCAAGGACACCAAAGGAGGAGTCAATCCCTGTTCATCCCAGCTCTGTGTACCACAACCGTTCACTCCAGTCTGCCTGGGACGCCCTGGGCTTATACCACGCCCAGTACACAAGGGTGAAGGCAAGTGCCCCTCTCACTTCTTAAAGTGCCTCTTTGGACAATCAATTGCTGATGATCACTCACAGTCCTCTAAGTCACTCCTGTGGACCACAAGAGTCAGAGAGGTCACAGTCAAGTCTGTTCCTGGGGCAGAGCACAGACCCGCCTACCCACAAAGCAGTGGAGGAGAGGTTGAGGCTGGGGGAGTCAATCCCTCTGCTCTGTTTTGCTCCTTCAGGCTCTGGTCTAGCAATGGGAATTCCTCATTATCTTCAACGAGCTTTGGTGTCCTTCTGTATTACAGTTGGAGGGGTTAAGATAAGGGTGCTCTCTTTACTATGGCGCCAAGCTAACCACAGACTTGGCTTCCAGGTCCTTTCTGGGATTCCAGACATGGAGGAAAAGCACCTGCCAATGTAACTGTGGGAAACTTAGGCTACTCTCTCAGAATGTTTAAGCAAATATCTTTTACAAGAATACTCTGACCCTGATAGCCAAATCCCTGCAGATCTGTAGTCTACTACATTACCCATGGTTAGGGGCTAGATGGTTCCATCACCCTCCAGTCTGCACTCTTCCAGCTCCAGTTCCAACAAGAAGAGTAAGGGGAAGAGACCGATGATGTCATAAAAGTACCTATGACACAGGTTCCAGGATGGCGGCCAATAGTTGAGTCCCTTCTAAGAAAAACTCAGAAGACTGTCCTTATTTTTCTACCAGAATGACTACATCATCTAAGACACTCACCAATTGACACAGAAGTTTATAAGGATCCTCTTTTTTTTAAATTTTATTTAAAGAAAGACTAAACAAAACAGAAAATAGGTAGAAATAATACATACATTCAGAGAAAAAAATAAACAATAAGAAATCACTAGTTGATGTTTACCTATTGTCGTTTTACAAATAGTTGTTCAATATACAAAAATGGAACATGTAAAGTAGGAATTCAAACAGCGAGACTGCAAACAGTTCTGTTCAACTATCCAGTGAAAACTTAGTAACATGGTTGTCCATCCTATACACTTAAATATACATGCAGTTATCCATATCTTCATTTATGTTTAGATTAAACTAAAGCAGGTTAAAATCATTCTGAACAAAGAATAATAGTGTTGCTGGATTTCACATCATGACACTCCGTGATCAGCACTGGGTATAGTGGTATCTTTTTTTTAAATTTAATTTTAAAAAAAAGACTAAACAAAACAAAAAACAGGTAGAAATAATACATAATTTCAAAGAAAAAATAAACAATAAGAAATCACTAGTTGATGATTACAGATTGTCCTCTTACAAATAGTTATTCACGATACTAAAGTGGAGCATATAAAGTGGGGGTTCAAACAGTGAGATTGCAATCAGTTCTGTTCAACTATCCAACAAAAACTTAGAAATATGGTTATCAATCCTATACATTTAAACATACATGCAGTTATCCATATCTTCAATTATGTTGAGATAGAATAAATGCAAGCAGGCTAATATCCCTCTGAACAAAGAATAATACTATTGCTGGGTTTCACATTATGATACTCCAGGATCTGGGTATTTTAGTGTCTCTTTTTCTTCAAAGTATCTGTTCATTTCATCATGTGTCATAAGATCAGTTCTCATAAACTGTTTATAGATTCTACATATGCATGAGTCTTAACATGTATTTTTATCCTATAAAGATACTCTTGTGTTTTTTTTTTTTTTTTTTTTGTCTTTTTCGTTTTTATCGGTACCAGGAATTGAACTCACGACCACACACTTGCAAGGCAGGCTGTATAAAGATACTCTTTAGCTGACTAGTATTCATTAAATGTATTTTAGTTCATTTAAATAATGGTAACTCAAATACAGTTAGAATGAGTTTGTTCTCTGCATAATAACATAGAAGGTATATGAATTTAATGATGAAACAAATCAAGATGAAGAAGGGGCTGGGGATTTAGCTCAGCGGCATAAGCGCCTGCCTTGCAAGCAGGCAGTCGTGAGTTTAATCCCTGGTATCGATAAAAACGAAAAAGACCAAAAAAAAAAAAAAATCAAGATGAAGAATAGTGACCCAAATATAAGGGCATATTTATATACATGTGTTATAAAAGCATTACCCCAAAAGGTAAGGAAGAAAAAAATGATCATCCCCAATAAGGATAGTGTTAGGGCAAACTCCCTTTCTGTGGCTAAGCCCTGTGTCTGGCCTGTCTGCAAGCCAGCCAGTTTCAGGACCCTGAGAGACCTGGACACACAGGCCAAAAATTCTCATGAAGGTCCCCAGACTGTCACAGGCTCAAGTGGGTTTAAGCATTTTTCTATCTTTCTCTGCCTCTGAGGGCTTTGAGGTCACCATCAGATGGGTAGGGCTTAGCTACTGCCCAAGTAGGGATCCATCTCTGCCTGCACCCAGGCTCTGAGGACCCAACTGGATACGGTGAGGCCTGGGCCTCCCTCAGAGTTGCAGCCCTAGGGGTCACTGAGGTGTGCGTTTGGGTGGGGTGAGTTGGGAGCACCTGTGTGTTCTATAGGGAGGCTACAGGGAAGAGGAAGGAGCTGTGTGAGGCCAAGGAGCCTGATGGAGTGAAGTTAATGGGGTGTGAGGGGAAGGAGGAGGAAAGTGGGTAAATGGTAGACTATGCTGCGTGGGGCAGGCAAGTACCTGAGGCACCCATTTGAAGGTGAAAATGTTGGCCAGGCCTGGGAGACCTGCATCAGCTTAGTGCCTCTCTCTGATAGGAGGTAGGGTACAGCAAAGCTGGCTGGAGAAGTGGGCAGGACCTGGAAATTACAAGACCCAGGGCTGCCCCAGATGATTTTCAGGATGCCACTCACTATGGCCACTCTCCCCAGTATCCCACCCTGGAGCCCCCATTCCCAGGGTGCACTTTTATTTTTCCTCTTTCTCACCTACCCTGCTTTGTTCAGCCCAAGTTCACTCTGCACAGCCAATTCTTACCTTATCCCTTCACCCCTCATTTTCAAATAAGCTTTTGACACTGTTTTTGACTTGTCATGTCCAATTCTTTGAGAGGAGAAGGACTTTGTTGCACGATTTCAAAAGGATCCACGACAACGGCTGTTTGGGTTTATCCACTAACAGGGATTGCTGCGTGAGTTCATCTGCCATTGCCCCCAGGCAACGTGATGCAGGAGTCACTCCAGCAGCAGCTCCCCTTCCCTTAACAATCACAGTCCACTGGGCCACCAGTCTGGTGACTCTTTCCATTACTTGTACATCTCTTAGCAAATAATAATAATAATAAATGAATCAGGTCACAGCCATAGCTTTAAATTTAATGGGTCTCTTTCTGTGATCCCTGCCATACACCTTCCCTCCCTAGAATCTGACAGACAGAACCTGAACTTGCAGGCACAGAACACACAAATGCCCATGTGGATAACCAGATAGAGTAACAGATCCACTACCACTTGCTCATAGTGGCTCCTAAGCACATACCCACTACAGACTGGGCACCAAACCTGAAGTGAGTATTGCCTGAGAGCATGAATTGGCATTCTACAGTCCATAAACAAAATCCAGCCCACTGCTTGTTTGGGGGCTGCAAAGAATGGTTTTTATTTTTCAGTGGTTGAAAAAAAGCAGAATAGTAATATTTAATAACACATGAAATTCAAATTTCTGTGTCCATGAAGTTTTATTATGCTTATGATTTACATTTTCTTTATAACCACATTTGCACTACAGTGACTGAGTTAAATAGCTGTGTCAGAGATCATACATGGCACTCCTTACTTCTCACTCCTACTCAGTGGAAACCATAAGATCTATGTTTTCTGTACCAGATGCATTGCTCTTCTGTGATCTATTGCTTAGTTCCAGTACACGCCTATCATGTCAAAATAAGAAAAGAAGAAAGCAGGCTTTAAGTGTTACATTTTCTTTTTCTTTAATCGGTACCAGGGATCAAACTCACAACCGCCTGCTTGCAAGGTAGGTGCTTATCCCGCTGAGCTAAATCCCCAGCCCCAAATGCTATACTTTCAAGACAATGGCAAGCCAGGAGTGAGTGATACATGCCTGTAATCCCAGAATTCTGGGAGGTTGGGGCAGGAGGATCACAAATTCAAGTCTGGCCTGGGCCATATAGCAACTTAGAAAGACCCTGTCCCAAAATAAAAAATAAAAAAAGGACTGAGAATGTAGGTCAGCGTGAAGCCTTGGGTTCAATATTCAGTACTAAAAAAAGAACAAAAAGGCAAAATACTATCATTATGCAATGACACTAAAGCAATACTGAAAGAATACGATAGTATATAATTACAAGATTAAGCAGTCCACAATATTTTTAGCTCACAAGAGAATAAAGATCATAAAAGACATTTTCAATGGTGTGTCTCACCACAGCAACATTTCATTACAAAACCTAAAATATGGAAATAACCCTGCAACCAAAATGATATCCAAGTTGCTCATTTGCCAGCAAAGCAGGGAAAGCTGTTACCAATAACAGATTAATTAATTGGTCTGATTGCAGCAGCTGAAGGAATGTCCCCAGAAAAAAACAAACTTAACATTATTAGCCTTTCCATGTGAATAAGCTACTCAGATCGAAGGACGGGAGGGGCAAATTTAAAAAAGGTAAACCATCCATTAGCTCCTAATCAGTTGATAGAGGTATCAATATAACCTAGCTGTTGTTTATTAAAGAAGAAAATGTCAGGTAATAGAAAATTAATAAAATTTAAGGTAATAGAAAATTAAAAAAAGGAAAGGAAAAGAAAAAAGGTAGAAAGAAAGAAGTAGGAAAGGAAAAAGAAAAGAATTAAACTCTATAAAAAGTGTGCAAAAAACAAATGCATGCAGAATATTTGTCTAAGGTGACAAAAATTTAATTCACTACTACTTGAAATGGAATCTGCCAAGATAAATCTGATAGTAGTAAAAATACAGCTGAGGTAGAAAAAGGGGTAACCGAATAATCTTACAAAGCTCATGAAACTGCACGGTGCTTAAAGCTACAGTTACCCATTGTACTCATTGTTGGGTACTAGGTGGAATCTACTGTGTTATTGAGCCAGTGTCAATGGTGAATTTCCCTTGGCATGCTAATATAGCCATTCTCCTCAGTTCTGTGCATATCTATCAGAAGCTGACTTGCTTAACATACAGCAGCTCCATGGCTCCGCAGTGATAAGGTGTCATTGCAAACTTTGAAGTTCAGAGTCAAGATTAAGATTTTTCTGAATGAGAAAAACTGCTTCCAATTAGCATTTAACACTGAATGGCACTATTTTAAATTAGCTGCCTCTGCTGTCTTCATATTTCTTAAAGAACTAAACCTATACTTAAAGGGCAAATCAGCGCTAAGAAGTAAAACTGGTGCAGTATTCTGGTTCAGTCATCATAATGACAAATAATTCTTACTCAAAGTAATGTCAAATTTCTCTACCTCTTCCTGAATTATCAAAAGCTAAAATTAGAAGCTATCTTTTCCCACACAGATCTCATGAGATTCTTTGCTGAACTCAAAACTATATAATTCTAGCATCAACTTTTTCTCAGATTTCTGTACAAATACAAGGAAACTTTCCATAGTTCTGGAGTTACTTATCTAAAATATTGAAAAGCAGTCACCTAAATTTCAATTGGAAATAATTATTTTACAATATAATGC